GGGGATTTCATATTATTTGAATATTATTTTTAGAAATTTCTAGATACCCTTGTTACCAATAAGTTGAAATTTATTTGGGTAAAAATATTCCTTATAACCAATGAGTTCTTTATTTGTATAAAGTTTCTAATTAAAACTATCTATTTAGTCTATTATAAGCTTAAATACCTCAATGCTAAAACAATTGATAGTATTAGACTTCATTATTACATTCATCATTTTATATACCTCCGTGACCTATACTAAAATTTACATTTCTTAATAATTAAAGGTATCATTTGATTAGTAAAATTATTTAATTTTAACGCCATATCCTTTTTTAAATTAAAATAAAATTTTAGAGATAGATAATTTGAAAACTTTTGCCAGCCACAGTAAGAATAACAGTATTATTTGTTTGACGTAGTTGAAAGTATTTCTGAAAATGTTTTCAATGTTTAGTACTCAATTGTAAATTAATTTAATCGCTTGGTAAACAGTAGGAAAAAATAATTGGCATAATGAAATGTATAAAAAAAACTTATATCTGGCGTTAATATTTAGTGTCTGACTAGTACTACACAAAATGGCAACTAAGATGTCACGCTTGCATGAAGTTAGCCAAGTTTTTAGACTAAAACAGTATGACTTTATTAGAACATTTTATTGTTTTCTTCTGTTAGATAGATTGTTTAAAGGGAAAAATTGGTAAAAAATAAAAAATTATCACAGAACGGGAGAATGTAGAAGCTATAATTATCTGATTTGTGTTTATATTTAGTGCCTTATTTATTAATTCTTTAATTAATTTCGTCAGGCACAAAAAAAGTAACCGAATTAAGAACCAAATACAAAATAAAATATCACGCCTTAGGCCTAAAGTCATCCAGAGATATGGAAGCATCATCTCTTATATTTATGTCAATAATTATGCTTACTTTTAAATACTTCAACCCGTTTGGTAAATAGTTTAAAGAAAAATTGCCAAAATAAAAATAAATTGTCAAGATTGACAATATGTTAAAAGAAAAGTTATAGATGTAATAAACAATTACAATATGTAAGGTATGATTAATACCTATTAATTCATAAATCAATTTTTCTAATCAATAAATAAAAAAAGTGATACTTTAAAAATAATTAAAAAAAATTTGGGGGTTATGGGAGAATTTCAAATCCCTCCCCCCCCCCCCTATATATATCATAAGATTGGTGATTAAAAACTTTGAATAAAATATTATCATAACTCATTTTTTAAAATCAAAATTTATAAAAATGTCCCACTAGTATTCCTCCCCCCCCCCTCCCTACCCACTTCGGATACTTCTATCACTTTTTATCGTTCTCATATTTAAAATATATATTAAATATCTCATTAATTTATATATCAAATATCCATAAATAAATATTAATAATTACCAGGTAAGCATATACATTTAAAACTCCTGTAGGTCTCTTTTGGAATCTCTATACATATTCCATTTTCACATGATATAGTCCTGCAATCGAGGATGTTTAATATTATATCACCTGTAACGATTTGAGTTTTAGAGGAAACACCAACACAATGATATAAGCCAGTATCGTTTATCAGTGCATTGTCAATCATAATTGAGTTTTTATAGGATTTAAATCTTTAAAAATATTATGTTTTAACATCGACAAAAAACGTTAAAAGGATTTTTAAAATAATTCAATATTTTATAAAAATAATTATAATTATTATTTTATGAATATTTCGGCTGCATTTTTAGATTCGTACATGTATGCAGGGATGGGCAAAAATTTACGATATTCTGTTAAGTTACAAATTATATCAATTTAATTATTTAAAGAATGCCTGTAACAGTTTCAGTTTATGAGTAGAAAAAGAGCTGAAATAGTTATTTTGTCATATAATGTTCTTTCAAACACATAGTGGCTTTTTGGAACTCTTTCAAAATTAATTAGACGCCGATAGAATCCTATGTTTTCGAAAGTCAATTTATGTGTTTGAAAAGAAACACTATATCAAAAAACTATAAAATGGAAAATTATCGATAATGTCATTTCACTTTCATTGCCAATTTATTTTAAAACATTGGATATACTTTAATATCATTTTCTACTTCTCTATTTTATAAAAATATAAAATAAGAGGAATGTCCTAATTAATCTTACTTCTTACATGAGAATTCATTCTAATTTTTCGCCTATTTGACTTCATTATCTTTGTTCAATTTTAACCAATTTTTAATTATTATTTTATTGCAATTGAATAATATGATAAAAATTTAAACAATATTTCTTGTTTTTTTAGTAACTATTAATTTCTTTCTAAAAATTTTGACGAAATTTAAGATATAAAATTAACTGAAATCTTTTATCAATGTATAATGTTTATTATTTCAGTAGGAAAGAGCTTATTAGCAAATAGGAAAAAATTGTCAAAATAGACTTCATGCCAGATTGAAAAATATAGAGGCATTCAATATGTGGCGCTAATATATAGTGTCTGATTATTACTTATTAATTCCATCAGTTTTGCTAACCATAAAAATAAATTATGATGTAACGCTCTAAACGTGAAGTTCCTTGGAAACACTAATTCTTAAACCTATAATAAACTTAGTAATATTTAATTAGTATATTTTAGTGCTTTAATCCATTTGGTATATGGATTAAAGGGGGAAAATAGTAAAATAAGAAGTAAATTTCTAAGATTGGCACAATGACAGAACTGGAGGTATAAAGTTCTAAATATTTGTTATTTTCACCAATCACGTAGCTAAATTATAAGCAAATATCAAACTTCTGAAAACAATAATTCTAAAGCATATCTCAATAATTGGTAGAGATCTATAACTATCGTTCTGGAATGATTCGGATTTTAGAATTTTTTTTATTTTAGTAATAATGCTCTTATTAATTTATTAATCAGTTTATCAAAACTATAAAACCGCTGCGTCTTAATAACGGATTCAATAAAACTATAAACATTAAGGTATTTTTCTCCGATTCAAGATATTTTGGAATTTAGATAGTTTGAAAAATATAAAAGTACAAAAGTAATTATAATACAAAATGAAAAAACATAATATATAATAAATTACTATCATCACTCAATATAAAAAAAATTAGCAATATCTCTAACTGAAGCTTTATCAGTTAGTGTCAAATTGCATAAAAAAGTGGTTAAAAGACGCATCTTTGGATAATGTGACATTAAAATAAGATATATTGTTTACGATAAAATTGAAACCGATCACAATAAAGAATTCTTTGTTTTAAGTTGAGCTCAAGCGATATTTAGTAGGTAACACTAATAGTATGTGCACTTCTATACTTAGAAATGGAAAGGGTTAAATATCGATTAAGAAAGACTTTAGTGTCTATGAGAAATATTGTTGTCAAATGGCTAGATTTGAGCCTAACTATCGGCTCAAATCAAGTCGTTTAACAACACTAATGGAGAGCGTCCCATTTTTCAGTTTTTTAAAATAATTTATAATAAAATGTGAAAATTTACCTACAATCTTTTAAGAAATAAACTTTATTTACAAGTTTTTTCCCCGCATTCTTTAAATGCAAGCATAAAGCTCTGAGACGCCCATATTCATGGGGATAAAAAATAAAATATGGGATTTTATCAATTATGAACATAATCATATTTTCTATGAGGGGTTTTCCTCCATTATCAATATAATGAAAACCCCTTACCATAATTTTTCCTTATCATATCTTCCATGAGGAGAGGAGGGGGGGGGAATTCAACCACAATCCCCCTTATCTATCACTGCTTATTATAAAGTTATAATATTTAATTGTTACAAATTAACTTTCTAAGAAATAAATCAATTCTTTTACTTTAAATCCAAGGCAGTTAAGAGATGATCACCTTTATACCATCTCAAAATTTTAACATTTTTATTGGCTCCATTTGCTATTGGACATTTTACTATTAATTTTTTATCTTCCGAAAAGTTATAAGTAGCCGAATTATTGCTGTCACAAGATGGTTTCATGCATAATTGAAATTGTTGCATTTTCGCTTGACAATCTTTATAATGAAGTGTCTCTAGTGGGCATAATTTTCTAGTTTTAAAACCTTATGATTTTTTAAAATATTTGTTTTTATATAATTAAATATTATACTATCTTGATTATTATAGGGTTCCAACTTCACTTTTAGTCGAAATTAGGATGTAGATAATTTATTTAACAGTTCCCTCTACCTTATTGCACTTAAAAAACCTTTAAAAAAGGATTATAAAGACAAACTTGGAACATACTTAAACTTATAGGTTGCAAACATTCAAGAACTACGAATGGAGACAGAGTGTGATAAACTATCTTACGGAAAAGTAACTTTTTTTAACCGAATAACTATAATTGAGAAAATAGTCTTATTAGTTTGGGGTTTCTAATTTTAAACATATTTATAGGCTTTTAATGATGGATGACAATTTTTTAAAACAAAAAATTTTCTTCCTGTAAAATTGACCCAATAGCGTTAAAACCCTAGTATTATTTCAACAAGGTCGAATTAGAGTTCAGCAAAGTGGACAGTGAGGCCCCAATCGTAGCAAAATAAATAAATAAATATTGATGAGGTCCGGCTTGAAGTTTGAGAGTTTATTATTATATTTCCTATGTTAGTAAAGTCATATCTTAATGGTGAAGAAATATAGAAAGGTAAAATAACAAAATAATTTTCCAAATCTAAGCACATTGACCAAAAATTTATAAACTAAACATTTTTTTGTTTGAGATGTATTTCCAATTTTATCTATATTATAAATCCGAGACGGTCTACGGGCTTTGGAAGTTTTTTTTACCATTGGGTTTAGCCCAAAATAAATAGTTTTTACAGCACACTCATTTGAATATAAAAATTAATAAACCTTCTCCACATTTTACAGTACATGGCCCCCAACCACTCCAACCATGTATTTTATACACATTATATGGAATTAAAGTGGTAAATTTATCTTGAAAATTATCATTATTCAAATTCAGAATTAATTGTTTTTTGGTTGGAGCTATAACGGTTGTTTTATGTCTAGATTCTTTGAATAATTTCTTGAAAGAATATTTGCGACTTTTTTGATTGAATACCTGATTAAATTGAATTAATAATTCTTTGAGCTCAATTTGTGTAGCTTCCGTTGTAGTCATTTCAAACTTTTCCTTTATTAAATCGTTCCACAAGACCTTGATCTTTGCATATATACCATTAGAACTCAAGGGTATCTTAATAAATTGTAAAATAAAATTATTCAATTATAATTAATAATGATTAATTTAGAAAATATAACAAAAGATAACCATAGAGGCAATTTAAATAAGATTAATTGTAAAGTACTAACTATATATTAAATGAAGATTTTTATATAAATAATTTGAATGATGCATTAAATAAAATATAGGAAAAGGAAGTTATGCATGAATAAACATTAATATATAATCTTAGGGTCAACACGAAATGTTTCATATGAGAATCAAACAATAAATAAGGAAGAATTCTGCGGTAAAAAAAGGAAGCCAAAAGTAAACCTTATATAATATGTATGACATCTAAAGCCACGAATTTTGGAAAATTATTGAAATAAAGAAACAACTATTTGCTCAGTAATAATAACTTTTCTCATTTTAAAAATGGTAACTTGCCTGAAGATTCATGCCAAGTTAACAAAATGTGTCTACAGTCAGGAAAAATAATATTCAAATAATACCTATAAACTATATCAACATTAATATCCAGTCCAGTGCTTTACATATTATGTAATTATTCGAATAAACGGAAAATGAGCCAATGTCCTAATAAAAATAAATTAAATAAATAATAGTCAAGTCTTTTTTTAAACAATAGCCCTTCCTGATTCATTTTTTGAGGATTCCTTTATCATTGTTTAAAGTGTTTATAAATCATCAAGAATTAATTTTGTGTTTATTTCGTTAAAATATAGAATTGCTAATGAAATAGGGGTGCCTCGCTTCTTTTCTGCACATATATTGTGTAGCCTCTGAACACATAAAAGCAACAAGTTGCTTATTATTTAAGAGTAGCAAAGTAGAGAAATAGGTTTTTTTCCTACACCTTTAAGAAAAATAATAGCATTGTAACTTACACAAAGATTTACCTAGTTGATTATATAATACTTTCTTTGATGCTCGTCTTGCTCATAATTATATTTTTGCTTTTACATGCCTTCAACCCCAAAGTTACGCACTATCTCGGTAAAAGGCCTCCTCTGTCCCTTCCTCCCCTGCCGAAGGCTACCTCTCTCCCTTGGTTAAAAATGGGCTGGGAGATATTTTTATAGAAATAAGATAAATAACAACATTTTAGAAAATGTAAGTTAGTTGATTTTTAAAGAAAATGTGTTATAATAAATAAGTTGTAGATGTAATTAAAGCAGTATTAAATAAAGAATTAATATTAAAGAAATAATATTACGACTGGAAAATTTTTTACTTTACTTTTATCATTACAAAAGTTTTAAAAGTAACGTTAAAGAAAGAAATAAACCTGGAAGAGGTTTTATGATCAATGTTATAAAATCTAACTTATACTTCATTTTCTCTAAAGAAATATTGTTTATATGGCATATTGTATTCAATTTTTTGAAAAGTGGATGGTGGAGTAATACTAGGGAAAATTTTATATTAAAAATGATATTTGAAAAACGGGCTAATTTTCTAAGGTAAGGTTTCTCGTTCCCCCCTCCCCGGTTATGCCAATGTCTTAAAGTAAGCTTTATAATGCCCTGATTCTCCTATTCTTTAAATTTTATTATCTAATTTTATTTATCAAAAAACTTATTGATGCTGGGTAATAGCTCATTTTAATTTCTTGTATACCCCTCCCCCTCCACCACCCCCTACGATTTAATATATAGTAAGTTTACATCAATACTTACATCAGGTGTAGGGAGCGAGAGTGTGGATCCATTATTAAGGTTGATTATCCCTGATTCATGGTCAATTGTATTCAAGTCAATACTAAAATTTGACGTAAAGCTTCTCCCTCCATCGTCAATAGTGTTTGAATCAGTATTTTTATTAGATATAATGGAAGATAATGTGGATTTATTAACGAAGCTCCTTAATCTTCCATATACTCCAGGAGGTGTCTTTATGTGCTGAGTCGTGTAATTAAATGCTGGACTTGAATTTGTCGGGTGATAATTTATCATTTCTTGTATAACTTCCTCCCATGCTTTATTCAAAGCATGGTCTATTGTGTTCATATCTATTTTTGCACTAGATACATAGGATGTTGGCTGATTGATGAAGTTCCTTAGTCCCCCAAATATTCTGTGCTTTTTCTTTATACGCTGACTCTTGTGTTTATGTTTATTATTATTTCGACTCGTTTCTAAATACGATATTTGAATAATAAGGAATATCATGCACAACATTATATAATGGTTGATACCAAAATATTGTTCCATTTATCTATTTTTATTTACATCATTATCAATAATTATGTGTATTTAAAATGTTTATGTTATGATTCGCTATCATATAATTTTTATAAGATAATTAATTATATATAAAAATATTTTGACTATTGTTGAATCGCATATTTTATAAGAAAAATTATATCATTCTTAAAGGTTTTTTTTTGCTCATCGATAGTTTATTATTTTGGAGCGGAGAGCTAAAACTATCGTGTGCACGTTTGTCCTTCTAAACATGATAATAGTAGGGATGGATGTAAGTGAGAAAATTACACATAATTTAAGCATATTTTAATTTAAATTGAGTCAATCCTTATAAGATACCTTAAACTAGAGGTCTGCATTGGGCGGGGTTTCGGCCCGCCCGCCCACACCCACCCATCTAAGTGGGTAGGCGGGTGGGCGGGTAAATGTTTTTTAAGAATGGGTAGGCGGGCGGGGTAAAAAAATTTGAAACTATGGGCGGGTGGGTGGGCGGGTTAAGAAATTTAAACAATGGGCGGGCGGGTTAAGGAAATTTAAAATTTTTGTTCAAAAACAAACTAAAGAAAAATTTGTGGTCTGTTCAAATTTTAAATTTTCGTCTATACAAAAAGTTATGAGATATTTCTACTCCGTTTATTATTTCTTTTGCTTCTTTGTCTATTGTAGAATAATTTCTTTTAGCGTCTTGTAAAGTTCTTGAGGTGTAAGCTATTTGAAATTCGTTACCATTATCATATTTTTGCATGAATACAGCTCCAAATCCTTGGTTAGATGCATCTGTTTCTAATATTAACTCGAGGTCTGGTTTATAAAACTGTATAGTATATTATTCTGTTACTATTCCGAATAGCATGAAACGATTACAAAAATAACACGGTATTTTATTTTGGAATGGCAGATTAATCTTTGTACTCACTTCAAAAAAAAATCACTTGATGAAGAGGATATACTTCAGACAGATATCATACTTTGGTGGAAATGACAAGAGATTTGCCAAAGCTATCAAGATTATAAAGAAAAATATTAATTCCTGCAACTAGTGCCTGAATGAGGATTTAGCATTGCTGGAAGGTTTTTAGAACAAAGAAGAACGTGTTTGAATCCAGAAAATGTCGATTCATTATTATTTTTGCATTATAACTACATTAGTGATCTGCATCGGGCCTAATTTTTCAAGCCCGGCTCGGCCCGAAATTTTTTATATAAAAGATATGCCGGCCCGACCCGAACCCGAATTTTTTTTAAAAAAATTTATCGGCCCGGTCCGGTCCGAATTTATTTAAATATAGAAATTAATTTTTATAATTACTCAAAATAAAAGACATATGTTTTGTGTAGTTTAGTTTCAATAATTAAAATAAAATATTTTTATTTTACATAAAAAATTCAATATAAAATTGATAAATTTAGATATATTTAAAAAAAATTTCAAGATCCGACCCGACAAGGCCCGATTTTTTTTAAAAAATATTAGGCCCGGCCCGGCCCGAACCCAATTATTTTAAATAAAATTAGGACCGGGCCGGACTCGGGCCGGGTACGGGCCGGGCCTAACTTTGCAGATCTCTAAACTACATATAATATCAATTTTATATTTATATTTATTTCATAAATATTCTATTTGATCAAATAAATTGTTCATAATTTAAATTGAATATTTTTTTATGCTTAAATTAATTTTCTAAATTATAAACTTTTTGTAGAGGTGTAATGCTGAAATATTTTTATTAGATGCTTAAAAAATTGAAAGAATGGCCATTATTATATTTTATAAGTAGATTTGGGTTAAAATTTTTTATAAATAATGGGCGGGCGGGTAAAAATTTTTAGACCAATGGGCGGGCGGGTAAGGAATTTTAAACAAATGGGCGAGGCGGGCGGATATATTTTTTTGATAACTATGAGCGGGTTGGGCGGGTGGATAAATTTTTTAAAACATTGGGTGGGCGGGCTTTTGGTCCAAAAACCCGCCCAATGCAGACCTCTACCTTAAACATCTTGCTTAAAAACCGATTAGGATTAATTTTAAGTATATACTTTTCTTTAAATTAATAACCAAATGGCTAGGTTTAAAAAAATCGCTCTTCTTTAAAAATTTATTGGAATTAGAACCCTATAATAATCAACAATTTTATATCTATTTTTTAATATTATTGTTTTTAAATTGAAAAAAAGATACGTCAAAAATAGTATCTTTGCAAAAAATTTACAAACAACTCTAATTTGCCTTTCATTGCCTTCGTTGACCATGCTATATAAAAATGTCCTTCTCGATTCCCTAATTTAATGAATGAAAGAATAGAACGTTTAAGATTATGAATAATTTTATTTAAAATTATTAATTCCACACAATATATACCTATAATAGGATAATTATAAACCGAGGCAATTATATTAAATAATTTTTGTTATAATTTTTTTAATATTTACACTATGTTCCAATTGAACTGATACCCTTTTTTTTAAATAATAAATCTGTCAATATATAATAAAAGTTTAGAGATTGGAAGATGACTAAATTATTAATTTTTTCTAAAGATTTCATAGAATTCTATCGAAAGTATCTAAAGTTATGTACATTCAAAGTTGGACAAACATATTTCGAACTTTCCAATATGTAAAAATTCGTTTTTTATTTATTTTTATTAAACATTCAGACAAAAACATGAAAACATCAACATTTAAAATTAATTTAAGTCAAGCTAGACCAGATATCGATTGGCTGTAACCTGTTTTTTTTTCCATTGAAACGCAACTACACTTTATTATTTTTCAGATTTACAGGTGTAGCTACTGTAAAATGAATTGAAAAAACTTCTGAGGGTGTTTCCGTACAGGTTGTTTGATACGTACCAGATAGACAATCATTCTCATCGGTTAGGTCCTGGGCTTGTTTTTTTTGAACATTTTAGCTGCAACTCTTTATAGATAATCTGATACACTGATTCAAGATACTTGGCGAATTGTTCTGTCGGTACCAGGTCGGTCTTCTCCATAGAACAAGATGTGCGTGGTGTGTCATTACCATATAGATTTTCTGCTGATCTTGTTGCATCTATTTTCGCAATCAATCGATTCAAAGCTGCAATAGACTAATTTCTGTTAGGAAATCCCTTCAAAAACCTTTTGACTACTTAATATTTTCTTGCATTCAATTTTAATTAAACTCAAATCATCTTTACTGAAACTTTTTTTTTCATTATCGTCTGCTTATACATTAAGTTTAATAAAAGATAAATCTTTACATGTTGAAAGTTCGAATTTTGTGTGCTCAACTTTGGACCCTGTTGATATAATTTGATAAAATTTGTAGGTAGTATTGATGATTTATCCCTTTCCCTCTAAAAATTTTCATGAGTTATTTTTATAATTGATAGATTATTTGCTAAAACAAAAAGAGGGGGCTGGCCATTGGACCAAGTGGGCATTTTGCTTACGAGGCCACGAGAAAATATCGATTTTTGAGGCTGATCAGTAAAAAAATGAAAAAAGAGGCCGATCAGAAATAATAAAATATATATTATTCTTTTATCATATAAGTTATGACTTTTCTCTTATCATATACATATTTCATATAATAAAGTTTTCATATTTCCTTTTTTATTATTAATATATTTTTTGAGGATTATCATTTATATATTGCTATTTTATGGGTTTTTTCAAAAAATAAATGCGTGTCTGTTTATAATGAAAGTCAAATTGGTTTATATTTTTATAGATTATTTTATTTAAATAGAATTCAATTAGCTTTAAAATAATAAATGCAATAATATTCATATGGTTTTCGGGTTATCTGACCACATGTTGCATAATTCACAGTTTTTTACCTTTAAATCTATTTCAGCATTTATGCCAGACCACCATAAATAATTATTTGCTAGTGCTTTAGTCTTTCCTGCTCCCAAGTGTCCGGCATGTAGATCCTGCAAAATAATTTTTCTCATATTATAAGGAATCACTATTTTTTCCGCCTTGTAGAGACAGTATTTTACAATACTTAGTTCATTTTCTATTTTTTTATAAGTCATGTTCTTTATTGAATCACCCTTCCTCACATCGTTTATAACCTGCGATAGTTCTTTGTCATGCATGGTTCCCGCTGCTATTTTTTCGAAGTTCAACGGTACATCCCATAAATTGTTTTTATCCAATTCTTCTAGCTCGTGTATTGTTTCCTCAATGTCTTTTAAGGGTAGTCGTGATCAGGGTTGCCAGGTGAAAATTTTCAATGCGGGAGAAATTTGGTATTATGCGGTAGAAATATAAAAATTGCTAACGGCCTGCAAAGTGCCGGCCTTAGCCCGGGATTTTGAATTGACTTAGTTATCCGCCTATTATTTTTTATAATTAGTTTATAAATACAAAGTCGGTAACTATTTTTCAAAATAAAATAACATATTGATTAATTAAAATATGTTAATTAAAAAAAATCAACGATCTTTTTTAAATATAAAAGAATGTAAACGAGATAAAATTTTATATTAAAAAAACGATTTTAATTTTACAATTAAAAAAATGCGAATGTCCCGCAAAACTACCGCAATTGTAAATCTACCATGTGTGTGTATAACATTATAGGGATAGGCGCTTAATTATCACGTATCACGTTTAAATACATAATATACTCCAAAAATAAGAAATAATACAGATGCAACTACAGTTGCGGCAATTGTAATCACTTATCTTGTAGTACAACATTCGTAGAGATACTTATCATCACAATGTTAGTAGAATCTTTTCCCCATAATATTTAACGACTCTAATATAAATGAAAACTATACTTGTAGAACAAAAATGAGCAAGGCTATCATCAATGTTTTAGGACCTAAATCCAGGAGGTCATCTCTTGACGATTTGAAAGATGGGCATACATATGCAATTCTAACAGATGCATCTAATAAGGGAAATATTAAAATATCTCCTTTGATCCTCTGCTAATTCAACAAAATTAAGGTCGTTTCAATAAAACTATTAAATTTTTCCCCCTCAAATAGTGAAAAATCTAA